TCATTGTCCCAGTGCCTAGAACAGTGCCTGGCATACAGATGATGCCTGATAAATGTGAATAAATGAAGGAAGGACTTACAGACAGACTGGAGATTGTGATAATGGTGGGTAGGAGTGATTTGAGGAAAGAGTAAACAGATAAAATAGGCTCCCTAGAGAGTCCCTAATTCTGACTGCTGAAAGTTCTTGCCCCCTTCTGAAAGTTCTCTTCTTGCACCTCACCTGCAGTGGGTTCTTGGTGCTGATCGCCAGGACCTGGTACTTGAAGTAGCAGAGCTCACAGCTCCAGGAGCCCCTCTCACTGATCCAGCGAATCAGGCAGGGCTGGTGTGTGCAGCGCACTGAGCCGTCGCAGCGACAGGGGCTCAGGAGCTCCCCCTGGAGGAAGAGTGAGGAGGGTCCCGGTCAGCTGTCTGCACCCGACCCCACACTCCTCTCCTGACCCAAGAGGGAAACCTCTCCAGGTCAATCATTCTCCAACCTTAAAAACATTCAGGCCTTTCACCCAAAACAGGGTAAGAAGGCTAAAGCCTCAGAAAAAAAAAAAAAAGAAAGAAAGAAAGAAAGAAAGAAGGAAGGAAGGAAGGAAGGAAGGAAGGAAGGAAGGAAGGAAGGAAGGAAGGAAGGAAAGAAAGAAAGAAAGAAAGAAAGAAAGAAAGAAAGAAAGAAAGAAAGAAAGAAAGAAAGAAAGAAAGAAAGAAAGAAAAGAAAAAAGTTGGGGGTCCAGGTAAACTTCTCTGACCAAATAGATGAAGAATAAAAAGAAACAGGGCTAGGGGAGGACTGAGTCTTCTCCTCTCCTAAAATTTGGGGAGGGTGCTCTTTATTAAGGCTTCCCAAATGGAAAGCTCCTCTCAGGATCTGGAGAGACAGGAAGGTCAGAGCTTCTGATCCATGCCTTCTTCCTCCATCCTATCGCTGTAAAGTGTCTCACAGATGCGGTACAGATTGGAATGGGTTATCGTCCTCAGTTTCCAAATATCAAAAAGGTGGAGAGTTCCTGGGCGTGAGAATGGTGTTCCCCTTTAATCAAGGAATCATTTCTCACGACATAGGTACATCTCCCTTTACCATCCCGGGACAACTTTGTCCGTAACATTTAAACAAAGAGTACTCTCTGGAATGAGATGGAAAGTTATGGAATAGGAAGAACATGCCCCATGGAGAGGCAATATTGAGTGAGGGAAGGGCACCAGCTGGGCCCCTCCCTTTAAGGAGGGAGGAACAGAAGCACTCTACCAACCTGCGAGAGAATAGGCCCCTCGGCCTACAGGGACCCTGGGGTGAGAGAAGTGGGACAGAAAGGCTGTCCCCGTTAGTGGGTGTGAGGGATTTTGAGCCCTCCCATGAGAAAGCCCCACCCTTTCCCGGGAGCCTCGGACCCCCCCCTCCACCCCAAACGTGCACTCCAGGACTCTCCAGCCAGCCCCCCAACCTCACCCTGTACCCACTCTGCGTCCCGGGTCCCGCCCAGCCTCCTCAGGCCCCGCCCCCTGTTCGTGGTCGGCCCGGGCGCCCCAGGTACGCGCCCCCACCCGTCCCTCCCGGCCCGGTGCCCAGGCCTGACCTGCTCGGGGCCCTGGAAGCAGATTCGGCACTGGGGGGTTCGGAGCCCGCTGTCCAGGCTGCTGCTGAGCGACAGGGCGTCCAGCGCGCCCGGGGGCGGCGGCGGCGGCGCGGGCGGCGGCGGGGGTCCGGCCCGCGGCTCCTTGTCGCCGGCCAGGCCCCGGGCCCGCGGCTCCGACCCGTAGTACTCCTCTTCGTCGCCGTCGCCGTCCCGGGTCGAGCAGCCGGCGAAGGGCGCCCAGCCGCAGCCGCCTCCCCCGCCCCCCCGGGGCTGCGGCTCGGCCCGGGGCCGCCCCCCGCCCGTCAGCACCAGCAGCTTCAGCTCGTTCAGGAACATGCGGAGCCGAGACTTGAGCATCGTCCGGGCGCCGGGGGGTGGGGGGCGGGAGGTGCCGTGCAAGGGGGGCTCTCGGGCGGCGGGGGGAAGGGAGAGGACAAGGCCGGGAAGGGGGCGCGCGCAGGAGAGCCGAGCCGGGCCAGGGTCCTCGGGGCCTGAGAGCGCAGTTCACTGCTGCCACAGCCGGGGTTCCCGGGCTTGCGGGGCCGAGAGGGCTGGCGGCCCGGGGGCGGCGGGGCGGGCAGCCATGGCCGGGGCAGGGGGCGGGGAGGGGGGCTCAAGGTGCCGCGCCCCGCGGGTCCGGGTCTGGAGCGGGCCGGGCTCCCGGGGTTACGCGCCCCGGGCCTCCAGCGGCGGGGCCGCCCCCCATTGCCGTCCTGCTGGCCCCAGTCCCGCTCTGGTTCCCGGCTCCGGCTCGGCTCGGACCGTGCGCTCGGCGGTGGCAAATGGCGGCTCCTTCCGGCGGCGGCGGCGGCGGAGACCCCCCCGGAGCGGCGGGCGGGCGGGCGGGGCGGGCGGGGCGGGAGCCGGGGAGCCGGTGAGGGATGGAGGGAGGGGCGGGGCGGGGAGCGGGAGAGAAGTGGCCGCGGCTGCGCATCCCCGCCCTGCCCCGCACGAGCAGGTGTCCCCAGAGGCGGGGGCGAGTGTGCGAGCCCGGGGGAGGGTGGAGGGAGGGGAGTGGCCAAGGAAGGGGAGTGTGTGCACATGGGTAGGAGAATAGGTGTGTTAATGGGGGTCGAGAGCTGGTGAGCGGGTGAGGATGCAAGGTGAGTGGTCAAAGACGCAGGTGCACCAGGGAGGGAGAAGCTTGTGCAAGATAGGAGTGTGCAAAGAAAGAGCTATGCAAGGGTCTGAGGTGTGAGGAAGGTGAACAAGAAATGGTCTCAAGCAATAAACACTTTTACACAAAAGACGGAAAAGTGCATGGTGTGGGACAGTGGAAAACAGATGAGTGTGTAAGAGATGCATTCGGGTGGTATGAGAAACGGAAGTGTGTAATTGTAATATGTGAGGAGGTGAGTGAGGGAGACAAGAGTGCTAAAGGAACTCGAGTGTCTTTCCCAGTACCCTCCTGCCCCACCACACTACACTGAAGTGAATACCACACACACGGGCACACACAGTTCTTTGCTTTTGCCTTTATGGAGGCCTTGACCCTAAGAACCAGCTCTACCCTCTCATCACATTATTTCTGATCTACACTTACATCCCCTCCTCTCCAACGCTGAGGGAAAAGGGATTCCAGGGGAGCCCATTGGGTTAAACGCACTGGAAAAAAAAAAAAGTAATTAGTAAAAGAGTAATTAACAGGAGAAGGGAGGGTATGGAACCAGGGACAGACTGCCAAACTAAGTCTCCTCAATAAAAGTGATTAAGGAGTGTAATGCTTTTATGAAGATTCAGATGCTTTGGATGGATGAATGTGTGAATCAGAAAGGGGGCTGGAACCCAAGGCAACATAGAGGAAGACTTCTATTCTAAAGACAGTGAGCTGTGGAAAGAGAAGCTGAAGTGGACCTTGCTGGTGTAAGAAAGAAATTTGACACGTCAGGGACACTTTGCCTGCCAGAAGGTTTATGAACCAGCCGGTCCCGGCAAGATAGCTGATAAAGCATTCACCTCAGAAGCCCCTTACCCAGTTCAGACCTTGAGGACTTTCTTTCCAGTGTCCCAGCTGCCCTTGCCAGCAAGGGCCCAGAGCTACAACTACCAGATGCAAAGAGGGGGAATCTGTACTGACCTGCATTCCATTTTGCCCTGGAGCATAGTTATATTCATCTCAAGCCTGAACTCTTACATCCTCTGCTGGGTGGTTAAGGAGAATAGAAGTTAAGGTCGAAAGAGTGGCAAATAAGAGTTATAAAGTGGTTTCAGATTTGAGACAATTTCTCACAAATGAGTCACTGATCCCTTCCTTCCTTGTTCCCATTCCCCTGAAGGGCTAGGAGATGAATAAGGAAGTTAGAGCCAGTAAGACAAAGTAAGAGAAACCTGTCATCTACCTAGGTGTCTGCAATAAGAGGCCTTTTGGAAAAGTCTGTGTTCTGGGTGGGAGCAAGGGCTAAGAAACCCTGCATTGGGGGAAAGAGAGAAGCAGAATGACCCCAAACAAGGAGTCACAAGGTTTGTAGAAGGGCACAAATCATTCTCATGCCATGGTCTAAGGTGGTGGCGGAGGCTACTTCTTTGCACATGCCCATTGCTGTATGTATCTAGATATAATGTATAAAATATACACATGTGTATACACATATACAAATACATATGTATCCTAGCATCTTAGTGCTAGAAAGAACCTTAAAGGCTAAGCATTCCCGTCTCTTGCTCATTGATAGCTTATCTGCCAGAAAGCACTCCCTATTTTAACACTCCCAGGAAGGGGGAGAAGCTGGGAAGAGAGGAGGGCATTACCTTGCCACTCTTCCTGTTGGATTACTGCATTAATCTGTCTTCCATCAATTATTTAACCCTAGTTTTGCCCTCAGATGGGTATTGTCTACTCCGTTTTATATGACCACACTGTTGGCTACATCGTTGCAGGCAGCCTCATCGCTACTTTAAAGAGCTAGTGACTGAGACACCAAAAAAACCCACACACAAACAAAAATCCAGCATACACACCGGAGGCAAGCCCTCAGTAAAAAATTGTTGAATGAGTGAATGAATGAAACAAAGACACAAATGAGAGTATGTTTTCCGTTGACAGCAAAGCAGAAAGGCGACGGCGCCAGGTCTCGCCTCCGCCCCGCCAGACCACCATAAAGAGAGCGAGAGACGTGTAGTGAGACTGGAGAAGCGCTCGGCTCGGCCTGCAGCCGTGAGTTGGGATCTGGGTGGCCCAGGTTGCCATGGCACCGCATTGGCCTCCACCCTCTCTTGTCTTCCTGCCCCCCCTTCCCCCCGCCTGGGTCTGGCAGTCAGTCACGTGCCCCGCCGCGTAACCACACCTCTGCCCCTCAGAGCGATGTCAAGCGGTCACGTGTGATAGCAACAGATCACGTGGCTGCCATCTCTCCTCCGCCCCTTTCTCCTCCCCGCCCCCTTCCCGGTCAAAGCCGCTCCTGGCTGCCCCTCTGCGCATGAGTGTCTCGTACGTGCCCCGAACGTCCGGCGTTCGCCCTGCCCCTCCAGTTTCCGCGCGCCTCTCTGGCAGCTGGTCACATGGTGAGGGTGGGGGTAAGGGGGCCGCTCTAGCTCGCGGGCTGTGTCTATGGTCGGGCCCGTAGCGTCCAGCTGCACCGGACACAGCTCGAGTGTATGGCGCCGCAGGATCTGGCTCCGGGGCCCCAATAACGGGCCGCCCCCGCAGCTCCAGGGACGCAGTGAGGTAAGTGCAGACCCTTCCCAGGAATGGGGTCCATTTTCGTCCTGCACGGCTTCCTACGCGGGCAAGTTATGGAAGGATGGCTCGAGGGCGGGAAGTGGGGCAGGGTGTAATTTCTTCCTTTGTGGTCATATGGAGGTGTAATTTTAGGGCCTGGATGTCGGATCTTCGATGCAGGGGGTGTGTCGTGTGAGATCAATGTTGTGCGGGGCGCGATGGTCCTAAAGAAAGGATTTTTTTGTTGTTGTTTTAGGGCCTCACGTGGCTGGAGGGCTTGGGGTTAGGGTCATTGTGTTACCTGAGGGGCCACCCTCATGGAAGATTGGGGAAGGGACGGGACGCTGCTGGTGATGTCTTTGTGATGTCTTTTGTGAGAGTTACTTTATTGCTGCAGGCGAATACTATCTGAATTCTGGAAGGGATTTTCGGTGGCAGGAGTCTCTGTGATTGTAGGGTTTCCTCTGATCTGAGAATGGCTACTCCTCGATATGAGCCAGTGGCTGAGATTGGTGTTGGTGCCTATGGAACGGTATACAAGGCCCGTGATCCCCACAGTGGCCACTTTGTGGCCCTCAAGAGTGTGAGAGTCCCTAATGGAGGCGGTGCTGGCGGGGGCCTTCCCATCAGCACAGTTCGTGAGGTGGCCTTACTGAGGCGGCTGGAGGCTTTTGAACATCCCAATGTTGTCCGGTAAGAAGAGGTGGAGGGTTGGGAGTGGGTAGTAAAAGGGAAAAGATAACCTATAGGTGGGGATTGGTGGTCAGAAGTGGGGACCCTGAGGAAATAGGGGAGGCCATGTTGGGCACAAGTGACCATTTGTTCTGGCCAGGCTGATGGACGTCTGTGCCACTGCCCGAACTGACCGAGAGACCAAAGTGACCCTGGTGTTTGAGCATGTGGACCAAGACCTAAGGACATACCTGGATAAGGCCCCCCCACCAGGCTTGCCAGTGGAGACTATCAAGGTAGGTAGGGTGGGTAGACGCCGAGAGAACCTGTTGTGATTGCGGGTGTGGTGCCTAGTTGCCAGTTCCTCTGTACCCACCCACCCCCCTTCCAAACCAGGATCTGATGCGCCAGTTTCTACGAGGCCTAGATTTCCTTCATGCCAACTGCATCGTTCATCGAGATCTGAAGCCAGAGAACATTCTGGTGACAAGTGGTGGGACAGTCAAGCTGGCTGACTTTGGCCTGGCCAGAATCTACAGCTATCAGATGGCACTTACACCTGTGGTCAGTAGAGAGGTGGGGGTAGGGGAGTGGTTGATGTAGCCATTGAGAAAGTCACAAGTTTTGTGACTTAGTTAAGCATCTGTGGTTCATGGTAACCCATAGGATCCTCATCCGCTTTTCTCATTCCCGTTAGGTTGTTACACTCTGGTACCGTGCTCCAGAAGTTCTTCTGCAGTCTACGTACGCAACACCCGTGGACATGTGGAGCGTTGGCTGTATCTTCGCAGAGATGTTTCGTCGCAAGTATGGGACCCAAGTATCCTGAGTTTCCCAAATCTCTTAGTCATAAACCCCATCCATTCCCTGCCCGTTATTTCACTTAAGTACTATTGACCATTTTGTCCCTAACCAGGAACTCTGAAATGGCCTGGAATTAGGAACTTCATTGCCCTACATTCTCCTTACCCTCTGTTTTGAGCCACTAGCAAGGATTATTCCATTACCAGATCTTTGAAAATGACTGCTCCGTGTGTCCTTTCTCACCATAGGCCTCTCTTCTGTGGAAACTCTGAAGCTGACCAGTTAGGCAAAATCTTTGAGTAAGTGGCCAGCATGGGGGAAAAGAATTTTCCACTCTGAATCTTTCTGCTGAGCCCTGGATGGCAGCTGGCTCTGTGCCTGGAGATGGGGGTTGGAGAAGGACCCTCTTGACCCAAGTTCTTCTGCTCCCCATAGCCTGATCGGGCTGCCTCCAGAGGATGACTGGCCCCGAGATGTGTCCCTGCCCCGAGGAGCCTTTTCCCCCAGAGGACCCCGTCCAGTGCAGTCAGTGGTACCTGAGTTGGAAGAGTCTGGAGCACAGCTGCTGCTGGTACTGGGCTTGCACACAGGCACGGGCACAAGGGGAGGTTGGGGTGCAAAATGGAGCAGTATAAAAGGGACCCAAACTGTCACGGTGCCTAAGACGTGGTTGGGGGATGGGCTAGTTTTTACTGTTGCCATGTATAGACCATCCACAAAGGGGGAGGTAGAAAATATGCCATGTTGGTATTATCCCGGGTGAGCAAAAGTTTGTTTTTTGTTTTTTTTGTCTTCATGGGCTTTTGATTTTTGCCTCCACTTCTCAGGAGATGCTGACTTTTAACCCACACAAGCGAATCTCTGCCTTCCGAGCCCTGCAGCACTCTTATCTACAAAAGGCAGAAGGTAACCCAGAGTGAGCGGTGGAGTGAGCGGTGGAGTGGCTGCAGCAGTACCCAGAGAGAAGAAACGCCATCATTTCCCTTCCTTTGAACACTTAAGTGGAAAGGCCCCCAACTGAGAAGGAGATCTCTCAGTCTCTGAGGCTGTGGAAACTCCTCCTCCAACTTTTCACAGAGAGTATTTTGCTGCCTTAATGACATTCTCCCTCGTATCCCTCCTTTTGAAGCTTATCCTTCCCTTGCCTCCCCCGCGCCCCCCCCCCCCCGATTTCCATACACCAAGAGGTATGTTCCTTGTTCTCCCCTTTCCTATCTTGATATTGGGGATCTTTTTTTATACAGGAAAAACAAAACAAAACAAAGAAATACGGTCTTTTTTTTTTCTTTTTCTTAAATGTTTCTTCCACTGATGGGCTTTGCCATTTGAGGATTTGGAAAAATCATTTGGAAGATGGAACTTCACTATAGAATCTTGAAAGATTCTCTCCAGGTCAGTCACAGAGCCTACGTAGGCAGTTGGAGCCCAACTGGCAAGAGAAAAAAAAGGCACTTAAGTTGCTGCTTTAAATATGGAGTTTAAATGGCTTTTATTTTTATATTCACTGAACTTCCCCAGACTGGGTCCTACTTATTGTAAGAAAGAGTCCTTGGTGGTTTTTTCCTGGCTGTCCCTGATTTACCCTTGGAGCCAGGCCAAGATGTGTTGAGGTGGTCCAGCGTGTGGAAGGGGAAAGTGGGGAAACAGAGCCAGGAATGACTCCAACCCCCATCCCATTTCATGCACTCCCAGGAGCTTCCCATATCCACTTAAGGAGAGAGGGCGGAAGTTGCTCTTCATTCCTTAGAACCTTGCTCCCACTGAACATGTCAGGGCACACAGCCTGGCTGTTCAGTCATCTTTGGGGGATGTGACAGAGGGCCTTTGCTTTTCTCAAAAAGGGCTTTAGACCCTGGGTTTTCCCTAAGGAAAGAAGAAAAGCTTAGGGAGAACGGAGAGCAGGAGAGAAGTCAGAAGGGTCCAGAGTCTCATAGAAAGGCACTGGGGTTAGCTCGAGGATCCTTCTGATTCCGAAATCGCATTGCTAGCCAAACACCAAGGATCTGTAAAAAGCAAAGGGAAAGAGATCATCACCAATCGTGAATCTCCAGAACTAAGACCTACAGCCACAGAGAAAAACTTAACAGATGTATATGAGAGAAGCGGAGAATGGTACCTCTGTAAAGCTAAAGAAGAGTCCAACACCCCCCAGGATTTTCAGGGCTTCGTCTGAATGCTTCAGAAACTTTTCTCCACACATCTGGCACGTGGGGCTCCGGCTCTTGCAGATCTGAGGATAAAACATGTCTGTGTGTGTGTGTGTTTGGAGGATGCGGAGCTGCCAGGCTGCCCCATCCCGACACCATGGTGAAAGGCCCCAGAAATAGTTTACTATGATCATTATCCTACAGGTAGAATCTCACTTGACTAATTCTCTACCCTTTGTATCCCTCCCTCCCTCTCCCTACCAGCACACAGCAAGAGAGCTGCTAGAGAGAGACAATCCCATTCAGGCTCTTGGAATCTGCCAGTTAACTTTCCTACCAGCCCCCACTCCAGCCCCACCTCTACACCAACTCACTGCGGTGCAGAAAGCATAATCCTGTTGATACAGGGTTGTGAGGTTGAACAAGCCACAACAATCAAAACTTCGTTCCAGTTCATCCCGGGTCTTGTTACTCATGACCCACCAAGAAGCATTGATGACATCTGTCTGGAGAAGATAGGCAGAGGGAAATTACTGGATGCTCCTAACCTTAAGAATCCTCCTACGTCCCGATCTCGAATACCTCAATTTCCCTATTTCAGCAAAGGGAGTCAACATCCCTCAGAAATAAGAGTGTATTATACAGAAAATGATAAAAATCCACCTCAGGTTCTTCTGGAAAATTAGCTGATTGCCCAGAGGAAGCAAATGCTCAAAATCTGAAAGTGGGCCTACTAAGAGATCCAGACAGGGGAGGGAGTTAAGAGGGTCGGGGGGGGGGGGGGGGGGGGGGGGGGGGGGGGGGGGGGGGGGGGGGGGGGGGGGGGGGGGGGGGGGGGGGGGGGGGGGCGGGAAGCAAGTACTTGAAGGGGCATCCGCTTACCTGTTTGCTTCGGTTGATAGCAAGGCATGAGCAAGAGATTACAAACTGGAAGGCGAAGACCAAACCGAGGATGATCATGTACTGAGAGGAAGAGTTATGGGAAAAAAAGGCCTAGGTTCCTTTATGTCGCACCTACAATAACCATCTGGTCTCATCTATAACCTTGTTAGCTGAAAACGATAAAATCAGCTTGTTTCATAAATTATGGAATAGGGTAGGGCAAGGAGACATGTTCCCAAGATCATTCAAGTCTACCCTTCTTTCCAACACTGCTAGCTGATTCAGCCCTCCCAAGGGCCCCAGTGCCCCCATCACTTAAGGTCAGGATACAAAGAACAGCAGTACTTGGTGGTGGTTGACAGCACCCACCAGTCCAGCCACCGCGATGAGAAGAAGGAAGACTCCCACAGCAATGACTGCTCCGATGATGTGGATGCTGGACACCAGACCCAGGCCCTTACCCCAAGCAGCCACTCCAATGAGCAATAAGCCTACCAGCTACAGGAAACAGAGCAGGTTACATCTCAGAAAAATTCTAGCGTGCAGCACAGCCAAAAGCCCTACAGGGAGTCTTGGACAAAAAAGAACTGAGTTTGCGTGAAAGAGGAAGAGGTGTATGCTCCCACCGCAGATCAGAATGGCTGGGAGAGGGGTGGGGGGCAGCAGGCCTAGTAGAGTCTGAATATAAAAAAGGAACCTGTAGCTTCATCCATCACTAGTATTTTGGAAGAAACAAATTCACAGGAGGGAGGGATTGGCCTTGATACCCACAGCCTTCAGTTCATTACCCCCACTCCCCAGATAAACCCCCTGGTCACCGGAAGTCTCCCCTCTTCCCACGGAAGTCCCCTGGAATTCCCTCTTCGCCGGAAGTTCCCGGGAATCTTCCCGGAACCCCCAGTACACCCCTCTTCCCACCGGAAGTCCCCTAGAGATTCTCCCCACTCCTCTTTCCGCCCTGAAGCTTCCCCCACCTCCAAAACCTCACCATGTAGACCACGTTCAGCGCGCACAGCGCATTCTTGGAGCAGGCAAAGCCACCGCAAACCATCTCCCCAGCTTTGGGGACCCAAGTGGTCCCAAGGACTTGGGGGGAGGGTCTTGGGGACCGTCTTCTTGGACCCCGACAGCTTCTGTCTCTTTAAATCGAGTCCAGCCAAACCCAATTCTCTGCGCCTGCACCGTCCCACCCCTGCCTCTGGATTGGAGAAACTCGGGGCTAATCCAGGACGTCGATGGCTTGAATGCCAATCAGTCTGCATTGCGTCACTGACCCGCCTGCCGGCTCCTCCTTTAGGTTCTTTATTGGATGAAACTTAAAACTGGGGGTAGGGCTTCCATAGCTTCTTATTAGGGACCAGAGCCTAAACTTCAAAACCCCGGATTGAAAACGGAGCGCTCTGTGGTCGCAGCTGGAAGAGGGCTAATGCGAGGGAGGAGGCTCAGGAGAAACCCAGTCGGAGAGCGAGTAGATACGGCTTGGAGCGTAGGGCGAAAGGGCTCCTCCCCTCGAGGGAGCGCCCTTCCCCGCCCCTTTCCCCTTGTCCTGCAGTGACCTCATGATGACGCCATTGTTGGTTGCTATTGCATCACATTCGGGAACACCCAGAGGAGCAAAACATCTAGCCATTTAGCCCGGCCACAGAAGCCTTGGCTTGGGCACAGCAACGTCCAGCAAACCGTCACGCGTTTATCCACTAGTACATATACTCCTCTTCCATAGCCCCTCCTAGCTGGGTGTGAATATGCTATAAATTCAGCGTGCAAAACAGCCGCCTCGGGCCAGAACATTTCTGTAGTGACAGAGCCAGAAGTGCAGACATGAGTGTGCTCGGTGTCCTCAGAGCACATGCCTGACCCATGGCTTGAAAAAAAAAAAAAAAAGCCAAAGGGAGGAGTCTGGAATATGAATAAATATGAGAGGGAGGAGGAGTCTCCACATTTTCACTCTGAGGGAGGATATAGAGGTTGATCAATATGCTTATAATTGAATAAATGCTCTTCATGGAGATGAGAAAAGGCATAATTCCTCTTTTCCAAGAGAAACTGGTGATGGGAACACAAACGAAAAACCTCCCTCCAACCCCACAGGATGATTGCAGTGTTTATGTACTTAGATTATAGGAGTGCGTGAGCAGTATACTCTTAACTGCTACAGTCAGATTGCATAGGTTCCAATTTTGCCACTTACTGGCTGTATAACCTTTGGCCAGTTACCTAAGCTTTCTCTGCCTGTTTCCTCATCTGTAAATGGGGATAAATAACAATACACCTGCCTCTTGGGTTGTTATGGGAATTGAATGAGTTAATATATGCAGAATGCTTAGGAACTACCTGGTATGTAGTAAACACTCAGTGTTAGTTTTTATAATCAGGCTGTTTTACAGGTTCCAGCAGATAATCCCAACCCCAGTTCCCTTATCTCCAACTATACAAGAATCATATAGTTATAATCTGCTATCTTTCATAAATTAATATCAAGACGATATGCAGGCAAAGAGACATTTGGCAGGGCCAGAAAGGTTTGAGTCCTGAAACAAAGTGATCAGATCACACTAGCCACAGTTTTCCCCCAATATCTCCCCTGTATCTTCATTCTGTCCTTCAATTCCTCATCCACCCTCTTCTCTTTCAGGTCCTAAATCAAGGGCAAGACAGTGGTATTAGGGATAAGGGAAACTGATTGGCAAGCATCTTAGTTGGGGAGGAGGGTATAATGAAAAGAGTATCAGAGTTGTAATCAGAAGAGCTAGACCCATAGGGGCACTTGGCTGGCTCAGTCAGTGGAACATGCAATGCTTGATCTCAGGGTTGTGAGTTCGAGCCCCATGTTGGGTGTAGAGATTACTTAAAAATAAAGCCTTAAGAAAAGGAGACCTAGACCCATGGATTTGTTTCACCTCTTACTGGCCTCTCAGAGCTTCGGTTTCCTTTCCTGCACCCCTGGGGCCTGTCATGAAGACAATATATTTGAAAGTGCCATCATAAACTATTAAGTGTTATAGATAATTATTATGAAAATAATTGAGCAGAGAGCATGGTGGGTTTTTTTTGTTTTTGTTTTTGCTTTTGTTTTTTTTTGTCTGGTTAGAGTTACTGTTCTCCTCCATAAACTGTTCTCCCCATAACTACTTGGCCTTTTAAAACAGGAGGTGGTTGCAGTGGGGCGGCTGACTAAGGAAGGGTTATGGAAAAAAATATAGGTATGCAAGCTCTTTGGATGTGTAGAGTGGGTGGGGAGTACAATCCTAAGCTGAAATGCAGGGCTGTAAGAATGAGAGACCAAGTGTGTATGCATTCCTGTCAGAGTTTGAGACTGAACACAAATCTGTTGGTCACTAAGAGTTTGGGATTGCAACTGGGGCCTGGCTTGCCACATTCTCCTAGAACCAACACCCATCTTAATTAGCCACCTCCCACAGGAGGCCCTAGGATGCTTGTTAAGGTCTCTCCATCTACCTGGCTGGAAAATCAGCAGGGGCTGGCTGGCAGAGTTGATGAGCCAACGCTAGAGGGGGTGGGAGGTGCAGGAGGTAGTGCTGTCCCAGGCTGTGGGTTTGAAACTCACCAGTCAGGAAGTGAGGCCGACAGACGGAAGGGCGGGCAGGAGCGGGGAGTTCTGGGGCACAGCAGAAGGGGCCTTCTGGGGTTTGGGGACTGTGGGGCCATGGGCTTCAGGGCCAGAGGTTGCTGTTAGCCTGGCAAGACAGGTCTGGGCAACATGCATGCCCAGAGGCAATTGGCTGTAGCTGCAGTGAGAGCAGAAGTCAGACGACATGAGGTGGCCAAGCAGTCTCTAAGCCGCCTCAGGAAGCTGGCAGAGCGGGTGGGCGACCCTGAACTTCGGGACAGCATCCAGGCCTCACTGAACAGCATAAGAGGTAAGAGAAGGGTGAGCTCTAAACTTGTGTGTCTCGGGGACCAGCAGGGGGATAGAAGGGCTTGCTGTGTCATACATCACTTCCCAATCAGCCACTTCCTAGTCCTCTAGATGGAGCTGGGACTCGGGGGAAGAAAACATTTGGACAGGATGGGAAAAGATACGGGAGGTGTCATTCTCCCTCTTTCCCCAATTCTGATCCTTCTCCCAAGGGATCAAAATACAAGTCACTGCTGAGCTGACCTTCTTGGCAATGGAGAAGTGGGTGAGCATGGGGAAGAGAGGCTGTGACAGACCCATGGTGGACTTGGACCCTGCCTGGGGAGTCCAGGGCAGGAAGCAGTGTGGGGCAGGAGGTTCTGGGACTGCATAATGCGTTCATTCCCAGGACCCTCAAAGGATCGGTGACCTCTTGTTCTCCAGCTGTAGAAAGAAACACACACACACTGAAACACACCACGCAGAGAATCTCAGGCTCCCAGGCACACACTGCCACTCATACTACACGCTTTGCACAGCCAAAGCGCAAAGAAGTCCCCAGGACCCTTTTCGGTCCCCTCTCTTCCCCATGCTCCTGTTCCTCTCCTCCCCACCACCCCCAGCACACACACCTTCCGCTCTACCTCCTTAGTGCCATTAGAACGAGTGATGACAACACAGGGAGGAAGTGCTGCCATGGCAACACCATCCGCCACATCCTCCTGCCCACCCCAGCCTTCAGTCCTGTGGTGGGGCCCCGGCAGGAACAGCTACTCCAAATCCATAAGGCCCCACCACTAGGGACCTGGTGGAACTGAAAGGGGTCTCCAACCTGCTCTCATTTCATTTACCTCTGAGGTGGCAAAGAGCAACAAAAGCCAGCTATGTTGTCCGTGAAAGGTGTCTGGGAAAAGCACATCCTTCATCAGATCCTGGTCTCTCCCAGCTGCTCCATTCTTAGCTGCCTACTTGGGGGAGAGGGGGGTCCAAGAGGCCATTCTTTCCACCAGGGGTATCTCCTGCCCAGACCTCTCTGACTACAGAGGCCACAACTGCAGACCATAACTTGGGGAAGGAACATTTGGTTTGGGTTCCTCAGGGGACAGTATGATCCCCTTCCCATTGCCTTTCTGAGGCTAGTGGCCCTCTCCCCTCCTGTCCCCACCTTTTGCCAAGAACAACCGCTGGCAGATGCCTTCCGTACAGCCTTAGTGGTGGAAAGACCCACTTGGGGGAGTGGCCCATGGCGCCTCCTAGGGGAGGACCTCCAAGCCCCACCCGGGGAGAGAAGAAAGAGGGGGAGGAAAAAGGTTTAGTCCAGGTAGAGAAGCTCTGCTTAGCTCTGGAGGAGGGAGTGAGGACAGGTGGAGGCTGAAATCTCCCAGAAGACTACGCTCTTTATCAGCGATTTGTTCCACTCCTCTAAGAGTCAGGGTTCTGTTTCCACTGAACATAAAGGAAAACTGAGGCCGCTAAAGGAAGGAAGGAAAATCAAGGCAGAATCAACAAAACACCTTCACCTCCTCTTTGAGAAAATTCAGAAAAAGCTACTGAAGAGTCTTCTATCCTGGGAATGGTGTCATCCAGGTGGGGTGGAAGAGAGGGGGTGCTGACCTCAGGACAGGACCGAGAGGGATTGGGTACAGGTCTCAGGGAAAACAGAGGGCATCCAGCATCCTGGTACTGCCCCCCCCCCTCACCCCCTACCAGGCCAAGCACGCTGCCGGCTCCTGCCTCCTAGAGCCGCCCACGACAGCACTTAATATAGTCTCAGCTGCGTCAGGAGGGTGGGACGCCAAATTAGGGGAACGCTCAGACTCCCCGAGTGGGGTGGGGCGAGGAGGGGGTGAAGGGGGGTGGGTTGGGGAGGTCTCCAAGCCTCTGAGAAGGCCTCCGACCACTCAGGCCCATCCCTGCCAGGTCTCACTCAGCCTCTGTTCCCCGTGGGCCTAACCCCTTCAGCCTTCTCCCCAGGGTAGAAGACAGTGAGTCCAACTCCGGGGTCCCTGGAAGGGTGGTAGACACACAGCAGACAGACGTTTTCCATTCTATCTCCTTTTTAACCTTCTAAAAGAGCTCCACCTTGAAAACCTCAGGAGTTGGAATGGGAACCCAAAAGACGCTGCCTCCCACCTCAACTGAAGGGGTCCCTGTATTCAGGGGTGCTAAAAACCTCACGTGTGGGTAATCAGATTCGAGGATGGTGCCTCCCTTAACCCCAATCCCCTGACAGACCCCCCCACCCACCATACCCACCAATTCTCCTCTCTGCTTATCCCTGCTGATTCTGAGGCACTCTTGGAGCTACGGTTGCTATGGAGACTGGATGCATTTTGGTATGGGGGTGTCGATCCGTAGACATACTCCTTCTCCTTCCACCTCAAGCTGGAGCCTTTGACTCACTTTTTGGCCTGGGCTCCTGGAGCCCTTAGATCTCTTCCCTCCTAAGGCACCCCTCTCCTTCCTACCCGGCTAAATTCCATGTTTGTCCCCATCCCCAGGGAACACTTTCCAAGTTCACTTTGGGACAGTTGGGCTCATGTCGTGGCCCCACCAATGCATTGCGTGTGGAGGGTGGGGGTGAGCGAGGCGGCTGGGTGATGGGGAAAGAAACAGCAGCAATTACCTGGGGGAGACCAGGGGTCCTGGGAAAGGGATTTCAGGCCTCCCGATTTCCCTACTTCAACTTCCCCAGAACTGGCAGCCATCCCCTAAATCCGCTCCGTTTCCCCCTCGGACTGTCCACCCACGAGCTGATTTTTTACCCTGGTCCCTAAATGCCACACCCAACAGTCGCGTTCCCTAACCGCGGTGTGCTAGGGGAGGGGGCTAGATTGTTGGAGTAGGTGAGTCCAAGTTCTAGGAAATCCAGCCCAGGATTTGGGAGGGAAATCCAGTCCTGGATTTTGTACCGCCTTCTCAGACAGCGGAGCTGGTGGAGAGAAGGTTGGGGGGGGAGATAGGGTGGGGGGGGCGGGGGGCCGCCTCCTCCTCAATGTGAGGGGAGCGCCCGGACACAGCGCGCATCCGGACCGAGCCGAGCCCCGGCGAGCCCCCCGGACCCTTCGCCGGGATCTCACGCCCCTTCCTTCCCAGACCCCAGACCCTTGGGTTCCCACCCCCTAAGGCTTCCCTCCTTCCTCCCCCGCCGGCGCCTGTATCTCCATCCCCAGCATCCTCCCCGCGCCCCTGCGAATCCCCCGCACGACCAGCCCATTAGCTTCCCACCTTCCCACAGATCTCCTCCCCGACCCCATCCCCGGCCCCTGTCCCCTGAGTCCCCATTCCCCGCCCCTGCCTCCCCCGCAGCGGTTCTTTTTCTCCCCCAGCCTCGGGTCCACCTTTTCTGCCCCCTTTTCCTCCCTCTCCCCTATTTGCCCCCACTACTGTCCTCCCCGCCCTCCTCCGCCCATCTCGGCGCCCCCACCCAGGCCGGGGTGCAAGGTCCAGCGCGCCTCCCTGGAGCAGCACCAAGGTCCCGGGGCTCCAACGGGGTGGGGGCGCAGGGCGGGGAGCATGGGGAGGGGGCGCCCCGTGTGATGGGAGGGGGGCGCAAGCGGAGGCGGCGGAGGCGGCGGCGACAGCGGAGCCGGGCTGGGGGCTCAGCGGGGTCCGGGGGCTGGGGGCAGCGAGCAGGGCGGCCCCATGGCCGGGCCCCCCTGAAGCAGTCCGGGGGAGTCCCCTCCCCTCCCCAGCTCGGGGGTCTCGGGGCCCCATGAGCCGGGGCGCGGGCGCTCTTCAGCGCCGGACAACGACCTACCTCATCTCGCTGACCCTGGTCAAGCTCGAGTCGGTACCTCCGCCGCCGCCTTCTCCGTCTGCGGCCGCAGCCGGCGCCCCCGGGACCAGAGGTGCCGAGACAGGGGATCCAGGCAGCCCCCGAGGCGCGGAGGAGCCGGGCAAGAAGCGGCACGAACGTCTCTTCCACCGGCAGGATGCGCTGTGGATCAGCACGAGCAGCGCGGGCGCCGGGGGCGCCGAGCCCCCCGCCCTGTCCCCGGCTCCGGCCAGTCCGGCCCGCCCCGTCTCCCCCGCTCCCGGCCGCCGCCTCTCCCTTTGGGCCGCCCCTCCGGGGCCCCCGCTCTCCGGGGGGCTGAGCCCTGACCCCAAGCCCGGGGGCGCCCCCACCTCCCGGCGCCCCTTGCTCAGCAGCCCGAGCTGGGGGGGCCCGGAACCTGAAGGCCGGGCGGGCGGCGGCGTCCCAGGCTCGTCCTCCCCGCACCCCGGCACTGGCAGTCGGAGGCTCAAGGTGGCGCCTCCTCCGCCGGCTCCCAAGCCTTGCAAGACCGTGACCACGAGTGGCGCCAAAGCCGGCGGGGGCAAGGGCGCGGGTAGCCGCCTGTCATGGCCCGAAAGCGAAGGCAAGCCCAGGGTCAAGGGGTCAAAGAGCAGCGCGGGGACTGGAGCTTCGGCCGCTGCTGCTACAGCCGCCTCCGCGGCCGCCGCCGCCGGGGGAGGGGGAGCGGCAGCCACGACCTCTGGTGGGGTCGGGGCTGGGTCCGGAGCCCGAGGGAAGCTGTCCCCTCGGAAAGGCAAGAGTAAGACCTTGGACAACAGTGACTTGCACCCGGGACCGCCTGCTGGTTCTCCTCCTCCGCTCACCCTCCCAGCAACCCCGGCTCCAGCCGCTGCTGTCACCGCCGCCTCCGCGCAGCCCACTGGGCCTGCACCTCCAATCACTCTAGAGCCTCCAGCTCCAGGGCTGAAACGGGGCCGGGAGGGGGGCCGAGCATCCACTCGAGATCGCAAGATGCTCAAGTTTATCAGCGGCATCTTCACCAAGAGCACAGGGGGGCCTCCTGGCTCCGGGCCCCCTCCCGGACCCCCGGGCCTGTCTTCTGGCAGCGGGTCCAGGGAGCTGCTGGGCGCAGAGCTCCGCGCCTCCCCTAGTGAGTAGGACCAGGGCCTGAGAACAGGGAGGGGAGGGCTTGTGGAATGCTCAGCTTGGGGTGGAGGAGAGGTGTGCAGGATTGAACTAGGGAAGCTTCTCTCTTGGGTGGGCGGATGAACCAGATTCACTCCATTGCCAAGGACTGGGGCAAAGACTCAGGGGTCCTGAAAGGAGGTGGGTGGCTACACTGTGCGACGTGAGAGATGCCTTGATTTCAGAGGGACTCGGAGAGCCTCAGAGCTTTCTGGGAAAATAATGCCCTTGGTCAGAGAGACTGTAGGAAATTACTCGCAGAGAAGGCTCAGACCCCACTTCCAGCCTCAGCGGGACTCTGGGAGCGTGGGAACAGAGCTTTGCCTTGCCCCGAGGACTGCTGAAGGTGAAGGGAATGAGGAAGCCTCAGTTTCTCTGGAGCACTTGGGGCAGGTGGCAGGAGAGTGACCTTGCAGGCAGCTGCTCGCCAGGGATAGGTCTTCCCTGGGCTGAGACCAGGCTAGTGGGGCGGCAGGGAGGGACTCTGGTTTCTTTCCGCGCAGAGGTGGATTGGGCAGTTCGGGAGTGCGTGGGGGCTGGAACGTGATGAATACTTGAATGCGAAGTGAGAGGGGGCGGATGGGAGGTCTCACTTCCCACTGCCCACCCTGGCCCCAGAGCGGCGTTGAAACCCCCAGGGGGCTGCCCAGGAGTGACTCAGGGGGACGGAACTGCTGCAAAGGCAATTTTTACCCCCGGAGACTTGGGAGGGGGTACTGAGAAGGTACTGTGGTTTTTTTCGGGGGAGGGGTGTCTTTCTTTCTTTTCTTTTCTTTTCTTTTCTTTCTTTCTTTTTTTTTTTTTTTTTACTTTTTCTGGAAGAAAGGCTAGGGACTCTTGGTGCGGCTCACACTCCCCTCCGGGGAGGCGGGTTCGGGAGCGGGGGCGGCCCCCGGGGTTTGGCTCTGGAGCGGGTGGGAGCAGATGGCTCCGGATCCCAGAGTTCCCGCCGCAGCTGCGGCGCCCCGGGAACGTCCGGCCAGTGTCGGGCGCGGGGGCTGGACCCGGCGGGCGGAAGGAGCATCCTACCCCCCGCCCCCGGGCCTGTAGCTTCTCCGGGCCAGGAAACTGAGCCCTTCCCCACACTTCTTTCAGAGGGTGCTTGTGGGAAAGGTGTGGGAGAGGGAAGCGTAGGCAAATCCAGGCTCCACTGCTTGGGCTGTGGGAAGCGGTCAGGGCCACCATGCTGTTGACCTTGAAAAAGGGGAGGGATATCCCTCACCTCAGTTTCTCTCTTGTGAAATGGAGATTGAGGAAGACCCACTCCCTTAGGTGTCCCAGCCCCTCCTCCCAAGATCTGCCTGGGGAATCCAAGTCAGGCCCGCAGGGAGGAGACCCTCCGCCGTTCCTCTACAGGGAAAAACCCACCACTGTCAGAACCCTGGTCCCCCCATCTGGGGCAGGGACTTACGTTTGGGGATGTGCTTTAAGGGAGATGCCAAATGAAGTATTTTTGTCTAGCTGGTTCCGTTGCTAAGCAACCACTGAGCGGCAGCAACAGCTGTGGGGAGACCAGCGGCTGGGATGGGAGGATTGGGGACCACTCTCAAACCTAGCCTTTCTACATAGTTCTCCAGCCCAGGCAGAGTCCTGGGGGTTAAGGGAAGCTGAAAAAGGAGGAGGGGTGGCTGAGGGGGTGGGGGTGCTCCTGGGCCTGGAGCATCCCCTCTTACGGCTCCTTTCCTATTACAGAGGCTGTGGTCAATAGCCAGGAATGGACTTTGAGCCGCTCCATTCCTGAACTGCGCCTGGTAGGTAACCGAGTCCCTTAGTCTGTACGAAGACTGACATCCCCACTCTCCTCACTCAACTCTCTCCCCGTCACCTCTTCCTGCCCCTCTCTCTGTGGGAATGAGGAATAGTTTTCTAGTTCTCCCGAGATTCTGCCTTCGTAGCACTTTCCTGGGGCTTGATCTATCCTTACAACTTTTTCTTCTCTACTCTCATTTCTTGTTTGTTCATGGTCCTCCTCCAGGCCTCTCCTCATTTCTGGCATCTCCCCTTTATCGTTTCATGTTCTGTTGCCTAGAATTGGCTAAAACTTTCCAACCAGTGTCTAGGGCTGTGACTTGATTCCCCCCCCCCCCCCAAAGTACTGGGTTGCCAAAAATCTTCAGCCTGTGGTCCACTTTGAGCTTGGGATCATTTCTTACCACACTTACCTGATCTTCCGGAATGCTCTCTCCTGACCAGCCCTCAGCTAGTCCCTGCAGGCTCCTGCCTGGATGATTTAACACTGCCAGTCTTTGAGTTCTCTGGAGTGTTCAGACCCAAGCATTTGGCCTCCTTCTAATTCTCACAATCTCTGCTCCACAACCTTGTTCTCAGGGTGTGCTGGGCGACGCCAGGAGTGGGAAGTCATCACTCATCCACCGATTCTTGACTGGTTCGTACCAGGTGCTGGAGAAGACAGAAAGTGAGTTCTCAGGAGCCATAGTAAGCTAAGGTTTGGGGTCAGGAATCCAGGATCACTGACTAGGCAGCTTTGGAGACCTCTAGAGGAAAGGATGAAGCCCTAATAGCTAAAGTATAAGAAGCACGGGGAAGCTTCATGATCTGTGACCACTGACATACTACCACTTCCAACCCTTCTGGACAGGTGAGCAGCACAAGAAAGAGATGTTGGTGGATGGACAGACTCATCTGGTGTTGATCCGAGAGGAAGCTGGGGCACCTGATGCCAAGGTGAGGGCTAAGGTGTTGGGGTAGGCAGGCTGGCTGGGGTCAGTATGGGCCAAGAGAGAAAGCTCTAGTTTCCCAGACCTCCCTGGGCATGGCGTCCAGAGGAGTGGACTTGTCTGACCCTCCCTTTGCTCCCTCATGCCCCGCAAGTTCTCAGGCTGGGCAGATGCTGTGATCTTGGTCTTCAGCCTGGAGGATGAAAACAGTTTCCAGGCCGTGAGTCGTCTCCATGGGCAGCTGAGCTCCCTTCGGGGGGAAGGACGAGGAGGCCTGGCACTGGCACTGGTGGGGACACAAGGTAAGGAGGGTCTGGGGAAGCACTATAGCTTTCAGGGGAGTCCTTGAGATGGCTGCCGAGGTATTTGCCCAACATAGGTGAAAGCGTGGTGAGGTGTGGAAATGGCCCCTTGGATTGTAGTAACTCTCTGGAAGGAGGCCGATCTCCAAATAAGGGAGTCATTAAAACAATCAAGAAAACAAAACAAAACAAAAGCAAAAGTAAAAACAAACAAAGAAAACAAAAAACAAAAAACAAAAATCTTCCCAGGGTCTGAGCAGAGAAAAGAGGACTCTTCAGGAAGGAAGGGACAGCTATAGTAGCAATCTCCATTCCTCTGAGATGTCACCTACCTTGTGTTCTCACACTGCCTTTTCCTGTCACCACCATGGGAAACACAGAAAATCTCGGGCTCCAGTGTGGACAGAAAGCCTTCCATGTTCCCCTTGCTTCAGCTGGGTCAGGCTGACACCTTTCAAAGGAACATATCTAAAAAAGAGAAAGCACAAATGAAACGACGGAGAAAATAAAGAGGGCAGAGAGTTTTTACAGAACTGTAAAATTCACAAAAGGGATTCAGAGGCTCTCAGATGCCCGCAGGGCCCTGTACCCACCTGTGTTGGGCTGGCAGGACTTTCTGTCTGGGTGCCTATCCTGCAGAATACCGTTTCCACCTGCTGCTCGCCTCCTGATTCCTTGCTGCAGAGTGAACAGTCCACCTGTTGCCCGTGGACATTCAACCTTTTCCTACGCACCAGGTGACCTCCCACTGAGTTCAGGGCTCGCTGGATTTGCAGAGCAGGGGCGATCATCACTTGTGAATCTCAGCCATTTCAGACCTTGTCAGGAAGCTCTACTCAGCTCTCGAGTATTCTTTGAAGACACGGGCACAGAGCTCGCCCAGCCTACTCGTACTGCAGCTGGGCTGGTGAGCTGGGCCCAGCATTCAAAGAGGAGGGAATATTCTCTCACAGCCTGTCCTTACTGGACCCAGCCTGGGACGGAAGTCAAAGGGAAAAGAAAGTAGGAGAAGTGAGGGAAAGGCCCGCTCGTCCAATCCTGACCCTTTCCTGTCCCCTCAGACAGGATTAGTGCTTCCTCCCCTCGAGTGGTGGGCGATGCCCGGGCCAGGGCTCTGTGCGCGGACATGAAGCGCTGCAGCTACTATGAGACGTGCGCCACCTACGGGCTCAATGTGGACCGGGTTTTCCAGGAGGGTGAGCACGGTGACTCCCCGCACACGTGGGAAGCTGGGAATGGAGGAGCTGAGGGCCTAGGGTATTCTCAGGGCCTCCAGGCCACCCTCCGTGAGAGACGGGAAATTAGCCTGCATGGTTGGGAGGAGCGATCAGGGAAGGTCAGAGAAGGTGTGCTTCATAACCACATGGTCTTTCTGGGCTGAGTGAGCTGCTCCAGGCTACAGGTGGCACGAAGGCCATAGTGAAGTTTGGGCCAGTGTTATCTCCTGGGGATTTATCAAAACTGGGCAACAAAGGCGGGGTGGGGGTCTTAGGTGTCTGCCCCACTCATGCATCCTACCTCTCCTCCTTCCGTTAGTGGCCCAGAAGGTGGTGACTTTACGAAAACAGCAACAGCTTCTGGCTGCCTGTAAGTCCCTGCCCAGCTCCCCAAGCCACTCAGCTGCTTCCACTCCTGTAGCTGGACAGGTGAGTTGGGGTTTCAGGGTCCACAGAAGGGCTGGTAAGATGCAGAGGAGGGCTGATGAACAAGAACAAGAGGACCTTAGGAGGTTGGAGGTGGGGGCGAATGGATATGACAGTGACACCACTTTTAGAAAGTGTCTTGGGCTGGAAATCAACTAGGTTCAAAATGCTGTAAGGTCCTTGAGCAAGTCATTATTACCTCCCAAGGTTTCAGGAAGATTATATGGCATGATACTTGCAAAATCTAAGGCACTATGACAGTGAGGAGTTTTATTGTTAATAATAACACAAATAAATGGTGATGAGCTCAAGGAGTGTCTCAAATCCCTCATAGCTAGATGTAACTCCAGCTTGGTGGGGTGGGAGCATCGCAAAAACTGTTCTGCTGACTCCTTCATCCGTACGCAGGCTAGCAATGGGGGCCACACTAGCGACTACTCTTCTTCCCTCCCATCCTCACCCAATGTTGGTCACCGTGAGCTCCGAGCTGAAGCGGCTGCAGTGGCCGGATTGAGCACTCCAGGGTCCCTGCACCGGGCAGCCAAGCGCAGGACCAGCCTTTTTGCGGTATTGGACATGATGATTCCCCCATCCTCCTGTTCCCTGACCATCTTCCCTGGTCCCTCGACCCCTCTGTTGGGCCCATTTTCATCGTCTTCCCCGTCCTTCCATCAGTGGATCCCTCTATCCATTCTCTAACTGATGCCAATAACCGTTCCAGAATCGTCGGGGCAGTGACTCTGAGAAGCGGAGTTTGGACAGTCGGGGAGAGACAACGGGGAGTGGGCGAGCCATCCCCATCAAACAGGTGGGTGATCCAGGGGCTGGGGCAAGCTGGGGTGGGTGGCTGGTCTTGACCGGCTTTCCTCCCACACGTCTCTCTCCATACTCCAGAGCTTCCTACTGAAGCGAAGTGGCAACTCCTTGAACAAAGAATGGAAGAAGAAATACGTGACCCTGTCCAGTAACGGCTTCCTCCTCTACCACCCCAGCATCAATGTGAGTGGCAAAGATTGGCTGGACCACACTGGCTGGCCTCGGACACCCTTCCACCTCTCCCAGTCCACGTTCTCACACACGTAAACGTCATTTCCAGGGGAGCCCTAGTCCTGTTCTCTTAAGTTCAGCAAACATGTGTGAGGCATCCACCTTGTACCCATCCTGGGGATGGGAAAGTAAAGACATCTCCCCAGGAACTTGCAGTCTAGTGGGAGAGCATGGAGGAAGGACCTCCACCTGGTCTGCCTTTCAGGGAATACTTTCTGGAGGAGACAGTGCCAGGCCAAGTTCGTTGGGCCCTTCCCCTCAAAGTTCATCTCAACACTGTCAGCACCAAACACAGTGTCCCCTCTCTAGCCCATACTCTTGGCTGCTTTCCAGCAGCACCAAGGCCCTCAGCCTTCCCGTACTCTCAACCCCTGTATCCCTCCAGGATTACATCCACAGCACCCATGGCAAGGAGATGGACTTGCTACGAACGACAGTCAAAGTCCCTGGTAAAAGGCCCCCAAGAGCCATCTCTGCTTTTGGCCCCTCAGCCAGCATCAACGGGTTGGTCAAGGACATGAGCACTGTGCAGATGGGTGAAGGTCCTGGTGAGTGGGACCTCTGACAAAGAGGCAGGAAAGGGGCCAGAGCTGCGGGGAAAAGGAGGAGGGGGAGGGAAGGGGGGGCTAGGACTGGGTAAGCAGGAAGATAGGTGATAAAGAGGAAGGAGTGGGGCCCAAGCACAGAGGGGCCCACTGAAGCTTTATCTTGTTCCCCTTCCAACAGAAGCCACCACTCCCACCCCCAGCCCCAGCCCCAGCCCCAGTTCTCTGCAGCCACCACCAGACCAGACATCCAAGCACCTGCTGAAGCCAGACCGGAATTTGGCCCGAGCCCTCAGCACTGGTCAGTGAGGACCCACCCTCCATCCACTGTCTTCCGGATCTGAATGGGGTGTGGGTGGGAAATGAACTTGGGGTAGAGGCTGGGAGGCTGGAATCAGTGCATGAGTGGATACACTGAGCATCCGCTGGGTGCCAGGCACCAGACTCGGTCATACTATGATGATCATAATGGTTAAACACAAGTGGGTTCTAGAGCTAAATTGCCTGAACTTAAATCCTGGCTTGCCACTTGGGCAAGTTGCTTGACCTCTCCATGCCTCAGTTTCCTCACCTGTAATATGGAGATAATAGATTCTATCTCAGAAGTTGCTTTGAGGCTTAAACAAACTGAGAACATTGTCTAGCACATAGCCAGCTCTCAGTATTTGGAATGTTTGGAGATATAGATATAGATAGATATAGATATAGATATAGATATAGATATAGATATAGATATAGATATAGATATAGATATAGATATATTTAAAAAACAAGTAAATGGTAACAAATGATCCTCACAACAACCTTGTCAGGTCAAGATTGTTATCCCCATTCTAGGGATGAAGAAACTGAGGCTCAGAAGATTAAGTGACTTGCTCAAGGTCTCAAGGCCAGTAAGTGGCAGAGCCAGGATCTAAGTGCAGGTCTGACTCTAAACCACTCATCTGCCCACCTCCCCAGGAATGATCAAGGGGGACCTCCTGGAGAGGACGGGGGACCAAAGCTAGTTCAGGGGAGGAGACAGGCTATGGAGGAATCAGGAAATCTGTGGAGGGGGCAACTGAGGCAGCTGTGTCCCCCTCCCTAAGACTGTACCCCATCTGGAGACCTGAGCCCCCTGAGTCGGGAACCCCCTCCTTCTCCCATGGTGAAGAAGCAGAGGAGGAAAAAGTTGACAACACCGTCCAAGACTGAAGGCTCGGCTGGGCAGGCTGAAGGTGAGGCCCTGGTGGGCAGTTCCACTCCCACCCTGGACCCTCACCCCTAACTCCAGATCCCTGGCCTAGCTCCTTCAGGAGGAGCAAAAGTGCCTGAGCTGAGTGCTTGGCTATCATAACCACTGTGCACATGACTTAGTGAGAAATGGATGAAGACCCCTCAGCTCCCGTCCCTCCTCCCATTCCCCAGACAATGCCTTTTACCCCAGTAGTTCCCAGCCCTGCCACTCCCTGTCCCAATGTCCCCCATTAGTCTGTAGCTCCTGCTACCTCTCTTAATGACCCTCCGGTTTCTGTTCCTGCTCGCAACTCCACTTATCCCGGTTCCCACACCCAGAACCCCCTTATGGTCCCCAGTGACTCATCACCTGACTTCACTGTCCCCCATTGACTCCTCAGCGGCTGGACTCTGTGCCCACTCAGTCCCTGTTCCCAATAACTTCTCATGATCACCAAGCTCTCCCAACAGCCCTTGACCACAGTGATCCACATTCCTGCCCCCAGTGACCTCCCCAGGCCCCCGAGACTCCTCTGGAACCACAGGCCTCCCTTGTCCCAGGTCCAGGACTCAGCTTCTGTCCCCTCTCCCTGTGTTCACTCAGATCCTGACCATCCCTTCCCTTCTTAGAGACCTGGCTCCTCACTGGTCATGATAACCGGTCCCCACGCCCTGCTCTCTGCTGGGTGCTCAGACCCAGGTTCCAGACCTGCCTACTCTCATGGCTCTTGGCTTCTGCTCCACTCTGCTCCGGGGCCACTGACTTTAGTTCTGCTTTCTCTCCCCATCTGTCTGTCCTGCTTTGTCTCTGGCACTCTGTCACTATTTCTCTCCATCTCTCCATCTGCCTCTCCTTTTCTCCTTTCTTGGTCTCTTTCTCTGTTCTGCTCTCCATTCTATCTCTATCTCCTTCGCTTCGGGAAACCAGCCAAGCGCAAAATGTGGAAACTAAAATCCTTTGGTAGTTTAAGAAATATTTATAAAGCAGGTAACAAGCGGGGAGCTGGGAGGGGCGCTCAGCTGGGGTGCAGATGGGTGGGGGTGCCCTTGCCTTCCCCTGCATGTGCTCGGGCTTCCTGCTCTCCCACACCTTCTGCTTCCCCAACCCCTCTGCCCCACTCCCAGGGGCTTGGGATGGACATCAGGGAGGAAGGGTTTGGGGAAGGCAACCCCTGTTTGAACTCTGTCCCTTGACCCTCATCCCATCCCCCACCCAGAGGAAAACTTCGAATTCCTGATCGTGTCCAGCACTGGTCAGACTTGGCACTTTGAGGCAGCCAGTTTTGAGGAGCGGGATGCTTGGGTCCAGGCCATCGAAAGTCAGATCCTAGCCAGTCTGCAATGCTGTGAGAGCAGCAAGGTCAAGGTAATGGTCGGGGGGCGGGGTGAGAGTTGGGGAAGAGCAGACAAGAGTGTCTCAAGAGTCTGGAGAAGGGCTCAGAGGGAGAGTCAACACACCCCCCAACCCTTTCTGCAGCTACGCACAGACAGCCAAAGTGAAGCAGTGGCCATCCAGGCGATCCGGAACGCCAAGGGCAACTCTATCTGCGTGGACTGCGGGGCCCCCAGTGAGCGCAAGGGGGCAGCGGAGGGGTCTGGGAGGGAGTATGGTTCGCTGGAGTTGGCGAATGCTGCCTCTCCGGCCAGGAGCCAACCTCTGCACTCCCTCCGCAGACCCCACATGGGCCAGTTTGAACCTGGGCGCACTCATCTGCATCGAGTGTTCTGGCATTCACCGGAACCTGGGCACACACCTGTCCCGAGTTCGTTCGCTGGACTTGGACGATTGGCCTCGGGAGCTGACCCTGGTGCTGACGGCCATTGGCAATGACATGGCCAACCGCGTGTGGGAGAGCGACACGCGGGGCCGCACCAAACCCACGCGGGACTCTTCGCGGTACGTGTGAGGGAAGGGGGTCGCCTAGGGTGTGCGGATCCCGAGAGGTTTCGCTGGGTAAGGGGAGGAGGTCCTGGGTGACTGTCCCTAGAACCCTTCCCGTTCATCCACGGTCTTGCAGAGAGGAGCGGGAGTCATGGATTCGCGCCAAGTACGAGCAGCTGCTATTCCTGGCGCCGCTGGGCACTCCCGAGGAGCCTCTGGGCCGCCAGCTGTGGGCCGCGGTGCAGGCCCAGGACGTGGCCACCGTTCTCCTGCTTCTGGCCCATGCGCGACACGGACCGCTCGACACCAGCGTAGAGGACCCGCAGCTCCGCTCCCCCCTTCACCTGGCAGCCGAGCTCGCCCACGTGGTCATCACGCAACTGCTGTTGTGGGTACGTGAAGGCGGGGGGGCGGGGGCGCGTAGGGAAAGGGGTCTTTGAAAGCTCCACCTAGGAGACAGCCAGGCGCGGGGGATCCCGGAAGCGGGCCTGGAAATTGGGAAGGGGGAGAATTTTTGCTAGTGTAGGCCCTACGGGGACGCTTGGTGACGCGGCCGTTTCTGTCCTCTAGTACGGCGCCGACGTGGCCGCCCGCGACGCACAGGGCCACACGGCGCTGTTCTACGCCCGCCAGGCTGGAAGCCAGCTGTGCGCCGACATCCTTCTCCAGCACGGCTGCCCGGGTGAGGGCGGCAGCACAGCCACCACCCCCAGCGCAGCCACCACCCCCAGCATCACCGCCACGCCCAGCCCCCGCCGCCGGAGCAGCGCCGCCAGCATGGGCCGTGCGGACGCCCCCGTCGCGCTGGTATAGTTGCCCAGCGGGAGAGACACCCCCACTCCCACACGGGCCGGGCACGACCACACCGGGTGGACCGCTGGACAGATGCACCCACTCACCTCTCTAAACCGCACCCCGCCCCACGGGAGCACTTCTTTCCCCCACGAGGGCACAGCCCCCACGCCTCCCAGAAGACACAAACTCACCTCCCTCTCCCCAACGAGGCATGGAGACCCCAGCTCAACACGCCCCCTTTCCACCCTTTCCACACTTGGATTGCGCTGGGTCTACCCGCTGGGTGTCTGCGGAAGCGGACGCCCTGTCGCGGTACCTGCTCCTGGGAGCTTGGATATGCCCGCTCGCGCCCCCTAGGGGAGGAGGGGGAAAGACCCAGTCCTGCTTGTGCTCGACAATCCCAAGGGTGGAGCACAAACCCAGGCTGGCTCCTGGGGAGACGCCGCGCCAGGGGGAGGGGTTAGTACGTGGGAGGGCTAGCCCTGGGACTTGGGGCCAAAACCCGGGCCCCCACCCCTTCCATGCTAATCTCACTGCCCAATGAAGGGGGAAGGGCAGCGAGGGGCAGGACCCCTGCTGCCCAAGGGGGTAGGGGGGTCCCCAACCCTTTCCGTGAAAGGGACCATGAGGAGTGGAAATCAGGACGTCCCCCCACACCCACCCATGGATGGAAGCTAAAGGGCCCGGGGAGCCAAGAGCCTGGGTCCCTCCTCACTAGTATCTTGGGAGGGAGAAGAGATGGAGCAGAGCGGGCTAAGGGGACTGGGGAGGGACCTTGTAATTTATTGCTTTGTTCCCCAACAAGGGGGCAGGGGCGGGCAGGGGCTGGGGAAGTTTCTGGGTAGGGGAAGCCAAGGGTGGGCAGAGGGTGGGGTGGGGTGGGGGTGCTCTCGGGTTGTGAGTGTCTGTGACCGTGACTGCGTACCTGTGACTGTGCAGCGCCCGTGGTGATCTGGGGCAGGGGGCACCCCTACAATGGGACCCCTCCCCCACTATTCTTCCTGTCCAGTCCCTCCCTCCCACTGGAGCAGCTCCAGACCCGTCCCCCAACCCCATGATCCCTCCCAGCCAGGGCTAAGAGGATGTGAGGTGGCTGGGAGGGTTACCAGGCCTCCTTCCCCATCCCCAGAAAGGGGGTGGTGGGGTGGATTTACCTGGCCCAGCCCCGCCTCCTTTAATCAATCCAGCCCTTGGGCCTTCTGTGTCAGTGGTTTCCGGTCTTTTTTTTTTTTTTTTTTTTCTCGGCTAAAATATTTTTCAAAGGACCAGGTAATTTTGGGGAGGGGAGAGGGACGGGGGCAGGGGGAAAGGCCCCATCTCCTCTGAGGCAGGTGGTGTGAATCATCTTCAACAGCAATTAAAGAGGAAGTGATTTTTGTCTAGGGGGTGAGCTGCTGGTTTGTTCTCGAAGAGGCCGGTCAGGGAATGGTCTTGGTCAAGGTGGGGAACTGGAGGTGGGAGTGTGCCAGCAGAGGGTGCCTCTGCTGGGGCTCATGGCAGAGCGACATCGCAACATCCAGGCACCGGGTGGCCCCCCGGGTGGCAGCTCAGATACCTCATGCAGTGGATAGAAACAGGCAGGGCAGAGCAACAGTGGGGGTCCAGGGAGTAGAAAAGTCAATGACTCCCAAGATGACCCTCTTTCTGGGAAGGGGCTGGGGTGTGGAACTTTGGGGACTCTGAGGACAGGGGAGGGGCTGCTTGGAGAGGCGAGCAGGAACCTTGGAGTCAGATCCGAATTTGAAACCAGGCCCTCCAAGGCTGAGTGGCCTTAAGCGGGTTACCTGGGTGGCATCTGTTTCTTTGTAATCTGAACAATAGCTGTTCAGAGGGACCTGGTAAGGACCCCAGCAATGCCCATGGAGCACCACCCTAGGCACTTGATACCAGAAGTAGGGCTCAGTATAGTAAGGACCTGGAGAGCAGAGGTAGAAATCTCCCAGCCGCAGACGTCCCTGGTGTCCGCAAACTCCATGCCCAGCTGAAGTAGACATCTGCCCACCTCCATGTCATCTACAAGGCCCCAGCAGACTGAGGCCAGAGCTTCCCCCCAACAGCTGCACTGCCTCCTGGTTAAGCGTGTAGCCAGTCCTGCTGTCCAAATGCAGCGGAAAGCATTCGCCCTGGTAGAAGGCCTGGGTGGTGTGCTGTTGGGCCAGAGCCACTGCATGTTGTCATTCAGTCAATGGCCTGGAGTCTTCTGGTAGAGGCCCCTCTTCCCTCAGCCCCACAACGACAACGTATAGCTGCAGGTGTGCCATCGAGCTAACAAGGTGTGGCTGCAGCAGCGGGTCCAGGTCCTTTTCACATGAAGGCCCTGATTGTCCGGGATTCTAGGCTGGGTGATCACCCAGCACAGCAGCCTGACATGGGAAAGGTGAACTCAGGGATGCAGGTGCAGTGACAGACGCAGGTGCAGAGGCAGGGGTGTCGTTTGAGAAGGCCAAACAAAAGGAAGAAGGGGAAGTAGCAAAAAAGACTCAACAGGAACACCTGGCCCGTCTGTCTTTCGGCTCAGAGACTCTGGACTCTGGCTCTCCATCTCCACTTTACTTCTTAGTGGTGAAAGCTCACTCCTGTCCTCAGAAGCTTAGTGTGAGAGACTATGAATGAGGGGGAAGCAAGGACCCCCTCATTCTTGGAGAGAATGAAATCACCACAGGGAACTATAGTCCCATGGGAAGTTCCTTTCATTTCCAGCAGGGGAATGGTGGTCAGTGTGTCGGCAACCCCCTCCCCCAGCAAATCCCAACACTAAGTAATCCATGGAATTCTTTTTATCATGGGCTGCATCTTCGGCCTTGTGGGAAATATAAAGGGTGTAGTGGATGGAATGACAAAAACATCAAGCCCTCCAGGTTGTGCAGAATAGGATTCTAGAAGGAGACTCCCTGGAGCGGTGGGGGTCACATCCATGCCACTTTCCCTGGCTCGCCTTGGGTATTCTCACCTGGATTCCTGCTGTCCCTCACCACCCCCTCCTGGTTACCATCTGCCACACATCCCACTCCCCTCTTTTTGCTTGCTTTAGCACAGCTGGGGCAGACCAACTTCCTCCATGGAAGTCTCACCAAAAGCCAAAGGAAAGCAAAAAGGAATTTACTATTGAAGGTACGAGATGATTCAGTCTAGCGAGGTTTCCAGAACTCCGCTTTCTGATCATGTTGAGTCCATCCCTATCAAAGCAAAGAGAACTTTCCTGCCCCAGTCTCTCCCGCTCCCCTATTCTGGAAGATTTCCACTGGAGCTTCAGATCAGCTTTTGGGATTCCCTCTAAGACTCTTGCCTCCAAGTACCATCTAGTCTCTTAAGAGCTCAGGAGCTGGTTGAAGTTCCCGAGCACTTCCTGTGGGCCAGGTGCTGTGCTAAGAGCATGACACACACACTAGACTTCATTCAGTTCTCAAAGCCACCATCAGAGGCCTGTGCAATCATCCCGAACTTACCCTGAGGGAAGCAGCACTTGAAAAGTTAAGTAGCCAAAACCAAAAACTAAAACAAGTAACTTGTTCAGTGGCCCCACTGATAGTAAATAAAGGAGTGAGGATTGGAACATTTCGGATACAGCTGCACTTGGGGTGGGGTCTCAGATCTCCCATGGTGAAGCATTCCTCCCCGAGACATACACAAATGGGCCGGGGGAAGCAGGATTTCACAAGTCCGCTTGCTTACATTTCTTTAAAAAAATTTTTTTTAATGTTTATTTTTGAGAGAAAGGGAGAGGCAGTGTGTGAGCAGGGGAGGGGCAGAGAGAGGGAGACACAGAATCCAAAGCAGGCTCCAGGCTCCGAGCTGTCAGCACAGAGACTGACACGGGGCTCAAACTCACGGACCCGTGAGATTGTGACCTGAGCTGAAGTCGGATACTTAACCAACGGAGCCACCCTGGTGCCCTTACATTTCTAAAGAAAACAATTTAAGCATAATGTGCAAAATAAGCACCAGCCCACATTCAGAAAGAAGAGGGTTGGTCTCAGACAACTTCCATCAACAATTGAATCTCTTACTTTGCACCTCTGGAGACCGGGGAGTTCAGCGCCCTCTATCTTGCCTTGTGAGTGAGTCAGTGCAGTCTTTGGCAGAAAGACTGTACATCTCAGAGATGGAAGGACAGGTGTGTGTGTGGGGGGGGGGGGTGCGGTGAGGGGACCAATGTCTGTACTTGGCAACGAGGAAGAGATGGAGAGACCTACCCAGCTGTGCCTGCCCTTGGCATAGCAGGAAGCTGGCATGTGTGGGCGGCAGTGCCCTCTCTGAGCGTGGCAGAGGGTAGAGTCTTTACTGGGAGAAACGAAGTGGTTTGGCCAGGTGGGCACGAGTGTGGTGGCCAACACAAGCTGCAGCGTGCTGCAGGGAGAGAGTCTGGCGGGACGATTCCCCCCGTGGGGTAACTTTGTGGTGTGCGCTTGGCTTTGGGGTATATGGTGGGGGCGAGTGAAGGAAAAGGAGGGACCCCTGCAGGTGTTTCAGTCCTTGGCAGGCCCAGTGGGCTTTCTTTCTCTGTCCCCACCTCTTCCTGTATGCCCCAGTCCCCACAGAGGCCACCTAGGGGGTGTAGAGCACAGAATGGGCTCAGAGAGTGTGCACTCCACCCTGAGAACACTCGGCCTCAGGCCTACTAGGGCCCCCACCCCACCTACCCCTGGGATGAAGTAAAAAAAAGACTGACTGATGGTCCAGTTCTTTATTTGGAAACCTGATTGTTCCAGAAGGAGGTGGGTGGTTCTGTACCCACCCTTTTCAGTGGGATTGTGTCAGAGGTGGTGGGCAACTCTCTCCCATTTCCTTGGAGACAGAGGGGGAAGCACCTCGACTCGGAAGCACTGATTATAGGGAACAGTGGGGGAGGGGAAAGGGGCAGGCAATCCGAAGCCAATCCAAGGGAAGGGGGTGACCCTGAGGAGCAGTTCGGCAGGGTGTGGGGGACCTGCTGAACTGCCCACTGTTCTCGCCCTCCCTGCCCTCCTCCACGCAAAAGATCTCCCCAGCTCTAGGGAGGGAGGGGGGAGGAGCCAGCAGGTTATTAAGGGGCTGGTGACAGGGCGTGGGGCGGAAGGAAGGGGCTGTGGGGAGAAGCCCGGGAGAGCAAACCCCACAGGCCCGGGAGCAGCTCTGAGCAGCGGCGGGGGGGGGGGGGGGGGGGGGGGGGGGGAGGCGGTGGCGTGCTCCCGCCCCAGCCCCTCGACACCCGCGGGGGCAGGATGCGCTGGATGCCAGGTCCACAGCTCAGCTCTGCCGCTCCGCCTTCAGGGCCCGGCTGGCTGGTGGGGGAGAAGGCAGGGCCGGTCCAGGCAGGCTCGGGAGCCCCTGGCCAGCCCGCGGCAGAGGTGGTCTCAGAAGTCAAACTCGTCCAGGTCCCCCGTGCCCTCCCCGCCGGGAGAGCCCCACACGCGGCGGTAATTGCTCTCCAGCTCCTTCTGCCGCTGCCGCTCTTTCTGTGCCTCCTCTGCTCCCTGCACCTGCGGGGAGGGCGAGCGGGCGGTGAGCGGGGTCGCTGCTGGCGAGCCATGAGCGCACTGGGCCTCGGAGCATCCACGGCGGCCCGGCGGGCGGCGCGGGGAAGGCAGGGACCCTGCACCCGCGCCTCGCGAGCGTTTCCTGTCAGGGCCTGGGACCAGCCCACCCGGCCGCCAGAACCAGAACCGCCAGCGGCGGGTTACGGAGGGTCAGAAGGCGGCGGCGAGGCTGGGACTGGCCAGTGCGCCGCGAGGCGCGCTCTTGACTCCCCAGCGCGCCAGAGCAGGGCCAAGGCTTGCAGGTTCGGGCCTGGGTGTAGGCGGCCTCTCACCAGGATATTGAAGAAAATCTCCTTGAGGTTTCTTGTGTCCTCGTCAGTCAGCCAACGTGCGTCCTCCTCTGTGCCCTCGGCGCCTGGCCGCACGATTTTGATTTCAATTTTCCCTGGGAAGGAGCCACGTGGGCAGTGAGAGGCGAGGAAGGGTGGGAGCTCCGGTGCAGGGCCTCTGCCCCCCGGGCGCCCAGCCGAGGTTTCCAGTCCACCTTGACCCAGCCCCTCCACCTCGGGCAGCAGGCCCTGCCAACAGCCCTTAGGCCAGCCAGCCCCAGGGCCCACCTTCGGCCGTGAGCCCCTCCCTCTCCAGCAGCTCTTTCACCAGCCCCTCGATTTGTTTCAGCTGTGGGTTTTCCCGTTTCATCTCGAGGACAGTCAGATCCTGATTGGGGCCTCCGTGATGGAGCTTGGTGACCCGGACCCGGACTCTGTGCTCAGGATCCTCCTCTTAGAGGGGGAGACACACAGGGAGACACAAAGCAGAGCCGTGACTCCAGGTTAGGGGCTGTGGTGGTCAGCTCTCCCTAAGCCACTGCCGGGTTTTGGCAGTTTTCCACCTCAAACACACGAACGAACTGGGGCTCAGGATGCAGGAGCGCCCCCTTCAAGCCTATAAAGCTCTCTCCCCCGACTACAGCCTCCCTCTTCCCTCCTGGACCAATAATTCTGCCTGTCCCCTACAGGAAAAATGACTGGGATTTCTGAAGCAAAAATCAGGCCACCTGGGCCAACAAAAAAGTTTTGTTTTAAGAAGCAGGTTCGGAAACTGTGGCTTGGCACTCCACATGCTGCTCCTCAAAAGACATTCTAGTGTTTACAGAGACAGTGGGACGGAAGGTTTGAAAACAGAACATTCTATTTGGAATGTCTGATCTCACAGGACCCTGTGGAATCGACATAGGGGGTATGAGAAGGAGGGAGAACTTCCAGTCTGTCCAGGCAGTTGGCTTATGAATAGCTGGGCTTGCCTATTCACACCCAACCCGCCGGGGCCTCTCCCGGTGTGCAGTCCTAACTGTTCACAGGCTGCACCTGTGGTCTTCAGCACACAGGCTCACTCACGGTCATCCCATTAATATCTACTGGCCACCCACTATATGCCAGGAAAGTGCTAGGCAGTGCACAGGAGCAAACCAGAAAACAAGGCGGACATGCTCTTAAAGCTGCTCCCAGGAGGATGAATAGAAGGTAGCCAGGCAAAGGGATGGAGGCGGTGGGAAGGAGGCAGGAGTGAGAAGAGCCTTCCAGAAAGAGGGAAGAGAGTAAGCGCTCTCAGAAGGGAAAGAGCAGGACACCCTCCAGGGTACGTGGGCTGAGGGACAAAGACGGGGCGGGGGGGCGGGGGCTTGACTGCCCCTCCCTGTCTGATGGCTCTTACCTGCTGGTTGTGGGGAGGGGGGAGGCTTTTTGGGGATAACCCTCCTTTTCCTGTGCTTCTTCACCAGCTCTGGACTCTGTTTTTCCTCCAGCCTTTTGATGAGTTTGTTGAGAGTGGATGTCAGGGCCAGCATTGCCCGATCACGCTCGGACTCCTTCTTCAGCCCATCTGGGTCCAGCTCTTTCTCTGTCTGGAATGCCCAAGGCAGGAGGGGAGAGTCAAGGGTCTGGGGAGTGAAGGTCAGTGGTCCATGCTCTACTGGAGACTAATAGCTAAGTCTCATCCCTCCAGGTGCCTGGGTGGCTCAGTCAGTTAAGCATCTGACTTCGGCTCAGATCATGATCTTGCAGTTTGTAAGTTCGAGCCCCGCATCAAGGCTCTGTGCTGACAGCTTAGAGCCTGGAGCCTGCCTCAGATTCTGTATCTCCCGGTCAATCTGCCCCTCCTATGCTCATGCTCTGTCTCTCAATAATAAATAAACGTTAAAAAAATATTTTAAAAAAAGTCTCATCCCTCTCTCTGATCCGGTGTTCTTATTGCTCCCCCCTTTTATTAAGTAAACAGCTGCCAGCTGAGCGGGCCCTGTCCCGTGCCTGCATGGTCTGGATGCCAACTTTGTCCCCCCAAGTCTGCAGCCTCCCCCCCCCCCCCCCCCACCGGCAAGGGGCAGCCAGCTGAGGCTGCATCAGGGCTCAGCGCAGAGCTCACCTCCCGGATGATGTTATCCAGTTCCCGCTCCATGCCAGCCTTCACCTCAGAACGGAGCCTGGCTCGGTCTGACGGGAGCAGTATCCCTTCCAGTTCCTTCTCAAACTCTCCCAGTAACTGCTGTTCATCCTCATCTTCATCCTCCTCCTCCTCCTCCTCCTCCTCTACCTCGTTCTGATGATCTGCGTCACTCTTCTTCACCTCTGCTTCTTTTTGAGGGGCTTCTGCGGCATCATCTGCAGGCTGCTCCGGGCCTCCGTTTGGCTTCCCCTGGGCGGACGGGAATCAGAGAAGGAGGTGGACGCTTGGGTTTCAGCAGAGACACATGGGCGGCAGACGTAAGGTAGCGTAAGGCAGGCGTGTGGTAGCGGGGCGGGGGAGGGACTCAGGGGGAGGAAATAAAGGGAGCCCGCTCCGCTGGGCTGCCTTCAGGCCCAGGTCAGAGGCGGTTCCCTAAGGGCTCCCGGCAGGGAGGCAGGCTCTCCCCCTCCCTTGAGCAGGGCCCATACCTTTTTTGTTCCACCTTTCAGCTCCTCTATCAATCGAATCAAGTCCGCAGGACTCCGGATGACTTTGACCTGCACGTTGTTCTGAAAATCTGCGATGAAAGGGCAGGGATGGACCAGGTGTGTCCTAAATTCTATTTTGATTTCCTAAGGAGAGGAGAGGAGGGGGCCAAGGAAGGACATGGTCCCTGCCTCCAGGACTACTTGTCTGTAGTGAGATGGGGGCTCACATAGCCCCCCCCCCCAAGAGCACTGCCCTAAGGTGCACCCACAGGTGAGAGAGAGAAGGATACTAACAAGCAGGTCACACATGCGCTGTCCTGGCCCTGCTGCAATCACTCCAGTTCTAAGACCACAGAAGGGATTCTGGGGCCATAGGCTCCTCTTCCCTGGATACTGTGCCCCCTTTCTACAAATACAAACCATTTATTGTCTACTCTATTCCAGGCACTCTGCTGTGCACTGCAGACTCGTTCTCATTTCACCTCACCTCACCCGATGAGGTAGGGGTTATGGCCCACTGGTAATAGGCGAGGAAACTGAGGTTAAGTGAAATCACCCACGATTACAGAGCCGGCAAGTGGTGGAACCACTGTGTTCTGCTGTCTCCCTAGAAGAGCACTGCTGTCTGCACATAGTATTACCTATTGTAATTACCTCCTGTGAAAATGAATTCGCTGCTGGCCTGGCAGCCCAACCTCCCCCCCCACCCCCCCCACCCCCCCCAGTGCTTAGTTCTACCTATGCCCACCCTGAAATACAGTCAAGCAGTAAAGGAGACATGGAGGGTTCGCTCACCATGAGGAGGGCTCGGAGCTGGATCTGCTGCCTCAAGGTTTGGTTCCTGCTCCTGATTGGAGACAAGGATACAGTTAATTGCACAAGCTTATTTATGCCTACCGCACGCTTAAGGTAGTGGTTCTGGGTACAGCCTGGCCTCCCTAGACAGGTGTAGGCCATCTCATAATGACCCCAGCTCGCCCAGGGTCAGCTTTATCGGGGGAAGGGTTGGGATGCTGGCTCTCACCTCAGCCTGAGCCTCCTCCCCACCAGCGGCCTGGTCCTCTGGCTCATGAAGCATCTTCCAGAAATCTGATTCCTTACCGTCATCCTTGGTTGGATGTGCACCTGGGATACAGAGAACAGGGAGGAATCTGAAAGGAGGGGAGAAACAGAAGGGAGCGAGTAGAATAGGGTGCACTCCCCTCTGCCGTTACTAAGGAACTAGGGCCCACAGTACTTTCTCCCTGCCCCCAACAGTCAGTACGGCACAGTAAGCCTTGGGAAGGGAAGAAATGGAAAGAAGTTTGATGGAACAGGTGCACCAGGGTCCTACCTGCCCTCTTTGGGGGCACTGCTCCCGGTGTGGCCTCACTCCACACCTGGGGCTCTAGGCCGTGCAGCTCCTCTGTGACTTTATCTCCATACTGCTTTGAGTCTACCGAAAAACAGCGTGTAGGCAGGACAGGGCCACATGCCTCTGGGCTCTCAATACCTTATCTTCTGCTTGTTCATCCCCATGTCTCTCCTTCCTCTCCTTGCTCCTCTAATGACTCACCAGCTTGCCTCTGAAGGTAGGCCATGTACTCCTCAGGCTGCAGGGCCGGGTGACAGAGAATGGCCTGGGGAGCAGCACTGGGTGGGGGCCGGAGGAGAGGGTGGGAGCAGAGCCGAGGAGTCCGAATGGTCAGCACATAGGAGCAGGACAGGGGCTCATCCACGCGATCAATGTAGTCCCCGGAAATGCCAGCACCCTCGTCACAGAGGAACTGCCAGGACAGAGAGGGTGAACGAATAATAATTACCATGAATAACCAGCTTTAGTTCTTAGAGCAGCTGCCTTTTGTTAAGCACTTACTGTGTGTCTGGCACTGTGCATACGTTGTGTATACGACACTTTACGTACATTAGTTCATTGAATGATCACAAAAACCTAGTGAGGGAGAGATTAGTATCTCAACTCTTGTGGCTCAAGAAACCTAGGTTTGATGCAGATAAGGGACTTGGTCAGGTTGACCACCAGTAAGTGGTAAAAACAGGAAATGAATTCAGGCATCTTCACTGTAGGTAACCGGCCAATTACTGTTCCACATTCTTGCTTTATATAAATACAGTACATATATACGCAGTTGTATATATGCAGTGTATATATACATGTGTGTGGGCATACAGGTGTATGTGTGTGTGTGTGTGTGTGTGTGTATACACACACAGTTGACCCTTGAACAATGCAGGGATTAGGGACACTGACTCCCCCTCCCCCCATGCAGTAAAAAATCTGTATATGACTTGTGATTCCCCAAAAACTTAACCACTAACAGTGAGAGCCACAAGAGATCACTTTTTCCCATGACAGGCAATTTACTGGAGACAGACTGTTCATGCAGAGACGAGAGACGATTCACATCATGGACTTTTAAGCAGATACAACACTTGGGCTCATCACAATAGCAACAGGAGGTGGATACACAATTGTTACAGTAGTATAGTGTGTACTGCGAGTGTCTTATGCCCTTATGATTTACCACTGCATCCTTAGGTTTGTTTACATTTCTCTCCACTGAGAATGGCGCCATGTGTGGTTTATAAGTGTGTGCATACGGTTTGATAAATGTTAAGTTTTTATAATAGATCTGTGTTTTATGGCGGCAATGATAAAATACACTACTACCTACATCGATATCATGCATTCCTGACATACCTAATTTTCTTTCATCTGTGAATTTTTTCAAATAATCAGGAATCTCCAAAAACTTTTCTAATATATATACCGAAAAAAACTGGTATGTAAGTGGGCCCACCCAGTTCAAACCTGTGTTGTTCAAGGGTCAGCTGTACTTTGTGTCTGTGTGTACGTGTGTGTGTGTATTCATTCTTAAAAATTTGTTCAAAGTTTATTTTTGAGAGAGAGAGAGACAGAGACAGAGACAGAGCATGAGTGGAGGAGGGGCAGAGAGGAAGACACAGAATTAGAAGCAGGCTCCAGGCTCTGAGCTGTCAGCACAGAGCTCACTGTGGGGCTCGAACCCACAAACTGTGAGATCATGACCTGAGCTAAAGGTGGACACTTAACAGACTTAGCCACCCAGATGCCCCTATATATATTTATTCTTTGTGTGTGTGTGTACACATGCATATATATATATATATATATATGTATATGTATATATATGATGAAAAATTTTCCCTGTAAAGAAGATAATATTAAAAAAGAAGAAAAAGACCTCAAATCAATAACTTAAATTTCTGTCTTAAAACACTTAGAAAAGAAAAGCAAACTAAACCCAAAGCAAGCAGAGGGAAGGGAATAATACAGATTAGAACAAAAATAATGAAACAGAGAACAGAAAAACAATAAAGGAAAATCAATGAAACTAAAGGCTGTTTTGAAAAGATCAATAAGGGACAAAACTTCTGCTAGACTTACCAAGAAAAAAAGAAAAGACTCAAATTAGTACAATCAGGAATGAAAGAGGGGACATTACTATCAATCTTAAAGAAATAAAAAAGGATTGTAAAGAAATACTATGAACACCTATATGGCAACAAATCAGATAACTTAGCTGAAATAGACAAATTTCTAGAAGGATACCACTAACAAAATCGGCTCAAGAAGGAAGAGACATTATGAATAGACTTATGACAAGTAATGAGACTGAATTAGTAATCTAGAAACTACCCACATAAAAAACCTGGGCCAGATGGGTCTACTGATGAGTTCTAACAAATATTTAAAAAACAGTAAATACTAATCTTGTTCAAACTTTTCCAGAAAATTAAAAAAAAAGAAAAGGAGGGAATATTCCCCAATGCATACTACAAAGCCAGTGTTATTATCCTGATACCAAATCTAGACAGATATATCACAAGAAAAGGAAAATGTAAGCCAATATCTCTTATGAATATAGACCCCAAATCCTCAACAAAATACTAGTTAGCCAAATTTTGCAACATATAAAAAGGGTTACACACCAGACCAAGTGGGTTCATCCCAGGAGTGCAAGGTTGGGCTAACACACAAAAAGTCAATTAATGTAATTAATACATCTTATTAACAGAATAAAGGACGAAAACCACACGATCATGTCAATGGATGCAGGAAAAGCATTTGACAAATTGTGACACCTCTTCATGATTAAAGCATTTAACATACTTGAAATGGAAGAGAATTTAATCAACCTGATAAAAGGCATCTATTAAAAAATCTACACCTAACATTACTCTTAATGGTAAAAAGCTGAATGGTTTCCCCCCTGAGATCAGGAATAAGACAAGGATGTTTGTGCCACTTTCATTCAACACTGGGCTGGAGGTCTTGACCAGGGCAATAAGGCAAGAAAATGAAATAAAAAGGCATCTATATTGGAAAGAAAAAAGTAAGACTATCTCTTACTTATAGTAAGATCTTATATAGAGAAAATCTTAAAGGATCTGCTAAACTATTGGAACTAATATACCAACTCAATAAGGTTGCAGGATATAAGAATCAACTGTATTTCTATACACTGCAATGGACATTTTATTTTTAAAAATTTTTAAATGTTTTATTCATTTCTGAGAGAGAGAGAGAGAGAGGCAGCATGAGCAGGGGAGGGTCAGAGAGAGAAGGAGACACAGAATCAGAAGCAGGCTCCAGGCTCTGAGCTAGCTGTCAGCACAGAGCCCATCGCGAGGCTCGAACCCACAAACTGTAAGATCATGACCTGAGCCAAAGTCGGACGTTTAACAGACTGAGCAACCCAGGCACCCCTGCAATGGACAATTTAAAAATTAGTAAAAGAACAAAAAGAAAATAATTCTATTTGCAGTAGCATCAAAACAATAAAATAATTAGGAATAAATGTAGCAGCAGGGCAGCTCAGCATCCTGAGTCTGTTAAGCATCCGACTCTTAATCCCAAGCAGGTTCCACATTGTCAGCCCAGAGCCCCATGTGGGCTTGATCCCCCCAATTGTGAGACCACAACCTGAGCCTAAATCAAGAGTCAGAAGCTTAACTGACTGAGCCACCCAAACATTCTAATTACAAAACATTTCTTAAAGAAGTTAAAAGTTAAAGACCTAAATAAATGGAAATATATACAAGCTCATAGATTAGAAGACTTAATGTAAATGTTAATATTAAGATGGCAATCCTCCCCAAATTGGTCTTCACATTCAATGCAATCCCCATCGAAATTCCAGCTGGCTTCTTTGCAGAAATTAACTGATTCTAAAATTCATATGAAAAATCAAGGGGCACCTGGTGGCTTAGGAGTGCCTGGGTGGCTCAGTTGGTTAAGCATCTGACTTCGGCTCAGGTCATGATCTCACGGTTCGTGGGTTCGAGCCCCACGTCGGGCTCTGTGCTGAAGCTAGCTCAGAGCCTGGAGCCTGTTTCAGATTCTGTGTCTCCCTCTCTCTCTGACCCTCCCCTGTTCATGCTGTCTCTCTCTTTCAGAAATAAATAAAACATTTAAAAAATTTTAAAAAAAAGAAAATTCAAGGGACTCCAAATAGCCTAAATAATCTTGAAAAGGAACAAAGTTGGAGAACTCAGACTGATTTTAAAACTTACTACAAAACTACAATAACAAAGACAGTGTAATACTGACACAAAGATAGATACATAGACCAATGACATAGAATATAGAGTCCAGGGGCGCCTGGGTGGCTCAGTCGGTTAAGCGTCCAACTTTGGCTCAGATCATGATCTTGCGGTCCGTGGGTTCAAGTCCCTCATCGCGCTCTGTGCTGACAGCTCAGAGCCTGGAGCCTGTTTCAGATTCTGTGTCTCCCTCTCTCTCTGCCCCTCCCCAGCTCGTGCTCTGTCTCTCTTGGTCTCAAAAGTAAATAAATGTTAAAAAAGTTAAAAAAAAAAAAAAAAAAAAAAAGAATATAGAGTCCAGGGGCGGCTTAGTCAGTTAAGCATCCAACTTTGGCTCACGTCATGATCTCACAGTTTGTGGGTTCAAACTCCACAGTGAGGTCTGGGGTGACAGCTCAGAGCCTGGAACCTGCTCAGAATTCTGTGGCTCCCTCTCTGTCTGCCCCTCCCCCACTGACACACTGTTTGTCTCTGTTTCTTAAAAATAAATAAACATAAAAAAATATTTTTAAAAATTTAGAGTCTAGAAACTAACCTTCACTTTTATCATCATTGATTTTTTGAAATGTTACCAAGGTAGTTCAGTGATGGGAATCATCTTTTCAGCGAAGGGTCCTGGGTCAACTGGAAATGAAGTTGAACTGCTATCTCATACTGTATACAAAAAATTATAACTTCAAATGGATCAAACACCTGAATGTAAAACTATAAAATTTTTAGGAGAAAATACATGTGTAAGTCTTCATGGCCTCAGATGAGCTACTGATTTATTTGATATGACAGCAAAGGCACAAGTAACAAAAAATAGATAAACTGGAATTCATCAAAATCAAAGCACCTTTTGTGCTGCAAAGGACACCATCAAAAACATGAAACAACAACCAAGAATGGGAGAAAATAATTGCAAATCATGTATCTGATAAACGATTTGTGTTTTTTGTTTTGTTTTTGAGAGACAGCGGGTGCAAGTAAGCGAGGAGCAGAGAGAGGGAGAGAGAGAATCCCACAGGGGCAGAGAGAGAGAGGGAGTGAGAGAGAATCCCAGGCAGGCTCCACACTGTCAGCGCAGAGCCCAAAGAGGGACTCGAGCCCAGGAACCGTGAGATCATGACCTGAACCAAAGTTGGATGCTTAACCGACTGAGCCACCCAGGCGCCCCTGACAGTAGATTTGTATCCAGAAT